TGGAGCACAGAGAATGTTTGAGTATTAATCACCACGCTTGCTCATTGCAGGTTGGCGATTTCAAACTTATAATTAGAAATTCTAAGCCCAGGTTTCCTCATGATGTTTTCCTTCACCGTTTGTCAGTAATCCTTACTGTGAGTGAGTTTGTTTCTTTTTTGTTTGTTCCACTTTTACGCCGTAACTACTAAACCGATTGCTTTGAATTTTTGCAGACGTAAAGTTAGAAGTCCGGATTAAATAATAAGGTTCTTTTTAACCCGGAAATATTTGATATTCTCGAGGGAAAACAAAAGTATTGGCATAGATGGCGCTGTGTGTATTGGTATATGTCACATAGACTACTTTTTATCTTTTTGTGACGCGAGCGAAGCCGCGGGTAAAAGCTAGTGTCTAAATAATTTTACAAAGTAGGTACATATAAAACGGGAATAGTCACATTAGTACTTGCCTTTGGTAGGTTTCGAACCCGTGCCCTCATACATGTGATGCGGGGGTCTTAAACCTCCGAGCCACCACGACAGCAGAGTGAATTACAAGTTTGTCTCCAGTCCTGCCAGTGGCGTAACTAGGATGGAAACTCGGCAAAATGCTACGAGCTTTTGCGTTTTTGGCCTTCTAGGTGAGGAGTTGGAAGACTCGTTCAGAGGTTTTAATCTGACTTCTTTTCTTTAATTAGTAAACGAGACCCATCCGATGAATTCGCCACGGCCCCCCCTTTTTTTTAAGGGGGTAAAATCATCGAATGACTGCTCCCACCTGGGTGAGGCGGAAGGGAGTGTCAGACTCTTACTGACTAAAAACCACCCCGTTCCTTCTTCTGCACGTTGAGCCGGAGCCCCGGTTACCCGTTAGGGTCTCCGCGACTTCGAATCGGCATCGGCCCTATTGGGCCCCATCTGTGGTGGTCTGATGGCCATAACGGTATAATTTAGCCACTGACTCCTGAGTTCACTCAGGAATCGTAAGTGACGTGTAAGGCACGGTTGGTGCGGTGGCTGGGTAACCGGCTGACACGCAACTCGTGGGTTCCATTCCCACATGGAGCAACTCTTTGTGTGATCCACAAGAAACTGGATAATAGTAATAGCATTAGACCATGCTATTGCTTTAATCAACTGTCTCTTAGGTCGCAGTCTCAAACGCAACCGCCGAGCAAGCAGTTTCAAAGATTCTCACATCTCTCTAATTAGAAACTTGATGATAAGAGATAGTAAGTGACTATCTGCGCGTGATCTCATCATGTTCCTATTTATTATTCAAATCGTGCTTATTTATATATTTGGGTTACACGTGACCATTGGCTCTTTCAGCTCTTTGTCATGTAAGTAGTTCGTCAACAACTGATCCATTACCAGGGTCACTTAGGGAGGCGAAGGAGTCTTTAAAACTTGATTGATATTTCCTCATATTGTTATCTAAAGAGAAGATAGTGCCCATAATGGTGATTTACATTTACTTCTTATATATTATTGTAAGTTTCATTCTCCAGAAGCACTGCAATAAACCGGAGGCCGAATCTCCGCCCTCCCCCTTTCCCAATCCCTGAATCCCCGACTAATTCTGAATCCCCAAAAGGCTAGTTAACGCACTTGTAACGCCGCCGGTGTTCCAGGTGTCCATGGGCGACGCCAACTGGTTACTGGAACGCGCAACACCCTGAAAAGCCCAGGTGAAGCCTTACCACTAGGGAATGCAAATCTCACGAGGTTAGGGGTTAGGTCTTAAAACACATACTACTACTAACCAATTTTTCAGGTTTAGATACCTATCAAAAATCTCTGATTTCTTTTTAAACATAACCAAAATAGTACTAGTAGGTACTAGCTTCGCAATTTTACGGGAAATCTTCACGATTTTTGTAAGTAGGTACTTATTCCACATTTTTTTCTTGTCTTTTTTTGCGAGATGACTTTTAGGTACGCTCGATATAAAAATGTCGAACACCAAAGTGTAGCATTGGTCACGGTTCGCGGCAAAATGGCGTCTCCATTCGTTCAGAAATTAGATAACGGGACGACCAGCGTCTAGTGGCACCATTGATAAGGAGTTACTTCAGTTCAACATTACATTGTAAAAGAAAATTGGAATTTTAGAAAGCATATCGTTGCGTGCGATAACAATTTGTAGATCGGGTGATATGAAATTGGATGGGAGCCTTTAACATCTTACTACACGTTACACGTCGTGTTGTTGGTTCGAAGTTAGTGGCACTCTCTACTACTTGCTTACTTTTTTAACGTTAGGTTCTTTAAAGTGTGGGAGACCATGCTTCGACACGAATGGACCTGCTCGACCGTGATACCACGGCTTCACAAAAAACCGACGTGAAACAACGCTTGCGTTGTGTTTCGTCTTGTGAGTGAGGTTACCGGAGGCCCAATCTCCCAACCCCAACAATCCTCAAACTCTAATCCCCAAAAGGCCGGTAACGCACTTGTAACGCTTCTGGTGTTCCAGGTGTCCATGGGCGACGCCTGATGCTCGTTTACCTGGCTTATCCCATAAACAAATAGGAGTTTCATGTATCATATTGTATCTCTTATGCTATGTGGTGCTAAAAATTTTAACAAGCACACCAGCTAAATCCTTTTTTACAATAATTTCATTGACCAAGAATAAACTTCGACTGCACGTTTGACGCAGTGGTTGAGCAACTGACTGCTGGGAAACGCGAGTTCGATTTGTGAACGAGACAACTTTTGTTTCAGATCTGAGTGTGATGTGATTGTGAATAGGACTTTTTAATCTATAAATAAATCCAGAATTATCCCTATTATAATGATTTGACAACAATATTTAGGTACAGGAGTTTTAAAAAGTAAATTAAATTAGGTTTTAAACTGTAAAAAATTATGAAATGCACTCAAAATAATCTTCACATCTGCAAGTACACAGGTACCTAAAGTATAAATAGCACAATAATTTTATAGTAGTAATTAAATCCTGTAGCATACGTTGTTACCTTACCAAACCAGCCAGACCCGTTCTAAGAACGTCTGTAGGACAAATACTCAACATTATTTCTAGAATACCCATAAAAAAGTAAAGGTCAACATGACCCTAAAACCTAAAGTTACGATTTTAGACTGAATACAATACAATCCGTAGATTTAAATGTTAACCCGTTTTCGTTTTTATATTTTTGAATAAGGAACTGTTTTTTTTAAGAATTTTTTTTTTGTTTGCCTTAGTAGATAGACACTTCATGGTTATTATTTACTTAAGTACTATTTTATTGAAATACGTAAATACTTACCCATAGATATAAAATTTACATAGGTTCTGCCTATTCTATGTTGCCATCAAAATCACATTTAGCTAAAAAATTAACTGGATAGTGTCAACAAAAAATTGGCGTTATCCAAATGAACGACGTAACCAGAATGAAGCTTTATGTTTTCCACTCTTTCATCTAATAAAGAAAGAACAGCGCCGAAAAAAGCAGTGTTCCAAAATCAAATTCCGCGCCCATATTCAAAATTCAGTATAACAACTTTTTTCAACTTCAAAATGAAACTTTTTAGCCTGCCAATCAGTTTTCGTAACGTGTAGAACACTTTTATTCTCCCAATTTCCCTCAGCATAGCAAAATCCGTTTTTTAAATATTTACAGCCTAGTTATGTAGATACAAATTTTTGGTGCATGGCGGGCCGGTGCGGCAGTTACCATGGCAACCACGTCGTTGTTTTGCCGATCGGGCTTTGTCTATTCTTTTTTTTTCTTGTTTGGCTTTTTTCGTACGGAAATATAGGCACAGGCATGAGGCAGACAATGCCTTTTAGAGGGTAGTGCTGTCGTATGTTAGATATTCGTATGTGCTTCGTGAATAACAATTATTTTGTATATTTTATGGAAAAATGTGACGTTTTTGTGGAATGAGAATGTTTCATGTAGATGAGATTTCATACTTCATGACGTTCATCTCATTACATAATATTAATACTGTTCTAGCTTATCATTCCTCTCATCTATTTCTTTTTGCTCCTTGATTTTGAATTTCTTACATAGATTTTTAAACTGTAATAATAGGTACCTACTTATGTACTTAATTTTTTAGCACCTATTTACACATAGGTACGTACATAATCATCACCATCCCATTTAGATACACAAGCTACAAGCAAAATAGAAAGAAAGGCAAACTGACGGAACTGTTACCTTCTAGTAATAAATAGATTGGAAACCCTTAATTTCTACTAATTACTTATCAATAGTAAGTAGTAACTACTTGACTCGATTCTTAATATAAGTGCACGAAGTGGGTAGGTAGCAGTTTTTCCGAACTAGGTGTTAATTAGATATATATCTAAGTACCTACCTACGTAAAAAGTCTCAAATAATTAGGAGTGTAGCTGTAGACTATGTGCTATTATGTAAAAATTACTTTACTCTGACTAGGTAGCTAATACTTAAATTATAGACCGTAATCGAATCTGTGTGCGATGCGATTTAATTAAAACTAGATACTTATTAATTTTTCCTGACTGTTTACCTAGTTTAATCATTGAAAGAATTAGATAACTTAAAAGTCGAATTAATAGGCAACTATGAACTAATAGTACTACTCAAAAAATCAAAATAAATGTTATTACAATTTAATCTTTATATAATGGCAGAAGGATCGTTATTGTTTAACAATTTTCTAACAGATTGCCATGAAGTCAGTAGCATATGTGTACGTTCTGCATACCAAATTCCCAATGATGAATAACTAATTTTCTAATTGTAATGTTAACGAAATAGAATTAATTGTGTAGATTGGATATTATATTATAAAGATAAAGGAAATAAACTGCCTTTTTTATTTCAATTTATTGAATGACATTTTTGTAATGTTCACTAAATCTACCTATAGCTCAAATTGATAACATGGTTTCTAAACGCACCTGTCAAAATGATAACACTAATCTGAAGTTAATCACAAACCAAAAGTGTTGGCGAACAGTGTTTCGCAATATTATTTCTTAGAAAAAATAGAAAAATATTGTCAAATATCATGCTATCCAGCCTGAGAACTGGAGTTCAGGGCGTGGTACGTCATATAAAACTTAATGCTTCTTTCATTCATATTGTAAACAATCATATTATATAATAACATTTTGACGTTTCTACCTTGGTGATTTGTGTTCGTATTACAGTGGCGTGCAGCTTCCAGGAGTATTCAGACCAGCTCAGCTCTGCAGCATGACAGCCTGTTCGTCCACCGTGATACTCCTCAGGACAATCCTGACATTCCTTTTGAGTTTTCAGAGGCCAACAAAAAGGTAAGCGATAGTCATCTGTTTGCCCTAAACAATCATTATTTCGAATTCTAATTCAAACTTATCAGAATCTGACAGAGTATTGTCGTTCTCTATCGTTTTAAACGCAATGATAATTAATTATTCAACTTAATGACGGAGGTTATGATAGTAAATTATTTTAGGTTAAAATATATGTCAGTGTTATCAAATTTATTTTCTGTTGGTTTATTGGATTTTGTAAACGTTACTAGTTACGACAGTTCTAATGTCACATGTGTGTCGATGTGATAAACCATATAAACATCACGCCTTTTTATAATAACTGTCGTGAGTCATACTAAATTAACTAAACTAACTAAATCATAACATTATGAGATTAGTTCGTAAGTTTGTACGAAAATTTGTTAATTTTTCATGAAACTTTACTCAGAAGATATCAGAGTACAAAATCATTTTGTAGACATTATCTGAAGCTGGTTTTATTAATTTAATTTTTTTTTAAACCTGTACTTAATTCATTCTGCCTCTCGTTTCAGAGAGTTGAAGCCCTGTTAGGAATCTACCCGGAAGGCCACAAGCGTGGTGCTATGATTCCTCTACTGGACCTGGCACAGCGTCAGAACGGAGGCTGGTTGCCCATCTCAGCCATGCACAAGGTTGCCGAAATCCTCAACCTGCCTCGCATGAGGGTTTATGAAGTTGCTACCTTCTACACTATGTTTATTAGGTGAGTACAACCATAAAATAGTAAAGTTTTGGTGATAAGTCACTTCCAAAGTGTTAAATCCAAAGTACCTAAACTTTATATAACTTTAAAATGAGATACAACTGAAAATGACTGGTGCTCACTGCACCCGGCTATTTTCGTGGACATATTTTAAATAATTTTGTCACATCATGGCTTTTACTGATTAGTTAATATTATAGAAAGTCAAGAGATTTGAATCATTTGAGAAATAGCTCTTAGGATTGATATCAAAGCAAATATGCTAATAATGTAAAATTGTGAATGAGTGTTTAAGTTCATTGGTTAAAAACTTACATTAATTCAGTATACTTTCACCTTATAGGAGACCGATCGGTAAATACCACATCCAAGTGTGCACCACCACACCCTGCTGGCTCCGTGGCTCCGATGCTATCCTTAAGGCACTGACTGAAGGCACCCAGTGCCATGTCGGTGGGAACAGTCCATGTGGCAAGTTCTCCATTTCTGAGGTATGTGATAACTTATTCATTTTAAATTAATATACATAACATATATAACTGACTGCTTTAGTTAAAGGATTTATTTTAATTAAATTCATTATCTGAGACGCAATAGCAAACATATTGTGTCTCGCATATATCTACATTCCGGCATACCACTGATTAATCCTAAATTGAGTGCTTTTGAAACACCAAAATTGAATTGTCCGTTAGGCTGTCTGTCAGTGAAGTTAAGTGCTTGTTCCAAAGTATAGTTCATGTTTATCATAATTAGTATCAGCCTGTTTTTGGCTGATGCTGGAGTGGTTGTCTAACAGTATTCCACTTCGATTACATTATAGTTCCCACTGATATTGGAATCATTTAACAATGAATTCCGTAAAAAGGCAACAGACAATTAATAGTTATAGTGTGTAGTATGATTTTACTCCAATCCTATTTTTTTTTACATTTTGACTAGTCTAAATATCTTTAAAAATCAATATTAATTTCCAGGTTGAATGTCTTGGTGCCTGCGTGAATGCTCCGATGGTCCAGGTCAACGATGATTACTATGTAAGTACAACGACTCTTGCTTTTCTTAACTAGTATGGTGGCCAGCAGGTCAATCTATCCCTTTCTGTCAAATTTCTCTATTAAATTTTCAACTTTATCACATTGATGTAAAATCGAAAATCTAATGAATAAATTTGACAGATTGAATTAGGTTGATCTACTGGCCAGTGTACTAAATAATAAACAGAGCTAAAGAATGCCTCCGTAGTTATACTCCCGAGTCTGTCAAGGCTTGTAACTATTACCTTAGTGATCATCTCACTACTGGGGGGCTTACTCTTGAATACAATTCCGATCGATCGACATTGGTATTGTGAAAGGAGAATGGCAGGTTTGTATGGAAGTTTTGTACCGCTATAAAATTTTGTATTAGTCATTGTTTTAACCAAGTGAATAGTCTGAACGATAGATATTTTTATTATGAAGTTTAGAAAAAAATTACATATTTTTAGAACTTGGGGTTCAAAAGTTATTTCACTTTGAAAATGTGCAAAAGGTATGTTAAGGTGGTACCACACTTGACATTGCGTAGTCGCTTCATTTGTCCAAATATTTGTAGACTACGTACAAATGGCGTCCAAATAGTATCTCTATATGTAATGGCGTGCAAATATATAGCAAACCAAGAAGAATAAATCCTCCAAACATGTTCTTTTTTGGCCGAACACAACAAATACGCAACGTCAAGTGTAGAGCCACCGTAAGCAAAATATCTATTACAAATGACAGATGACAGTTAACTGAAAAATGTCAATGTGCTCTCATGTGGTTGTTTATTTACAAAAAACAAAAATCTAAAAATACTGCTCGCTACTCAAGTGACTATTACACTTTGTATTATTAGAAAGAAAGAAAGAAAGAAAAACCATTTATTTTGCTACGACACACAACAAGAATTTAGAAACCCAAAAAATAACCTATGGTGCGTCGCAGCGCAAAAGGCAATTAGGAATGATCCTGTTAATTCAGCAAGCATGATGCACCTATAGAGTTTTAAAGAGTATGCCTCACAATCTTTTTCATTTCTTAGGTGCCTACGAAAATGCAAATTCATAATGTAAGCGACTGTCATTGGGTAGAAGGCCTACATTTAGCAGTGGAAGTCTTGTGGCGGATATGATAAAACTAATGTCTCACTTCACCTTGAATCTTGCAGGTAGATAGTCTCAAGGGTCTCAAGTTAATTCGATTTAAACTTAGCTTAGCTCTTTGAGAAAGTATTTCTTCTGAAAACTGGTTGCTTAGCACGCATGTAAGGATTAATTTCTAATAAGTAAGTCAAATTAGTAGAATCATCAACATTTTCATCATTAAGTCTATAAGTGGCCACTGCTGACCGAAGCCTCTTCTCGCATGGAGGTTTGAGCATTAATCACCATACTAGCTCAATGTGGGTTGGTAATTCAAACTTATAATAGAAATTATAAGCCCATGTTTCCTCACAATGTTTTCCTTCACCATTCGTCAGCGGTGTCTTTGTACTTTCTTAGATTATTGAATATACCAATAACTCGGAAAAAAGACACATTGGACAAAAGGTACTTTGCCGTTGGTAGGTTTCGAACCCGCACTCTCATGCATGAGAAGCGGGCTTCTTAAACCTCTGGGCCACCACATTACAACTAAAGAAAATGTAAAATGAAAATGAACATTTTTGGTATAAAACTAAAGCTATCTAAATTAAATATGGCATTTATTTTATAGATTGATTCTTAAAATCACTTTTATCAAGATGGAATATATAGTTACTTACTAGGTTAAAATAAAACAAATGTATTATTTTGAAATACTTTTATTTCATTGTATTCAGGTTGTTTCTAGGAGTACTTCATCTAAAAAGAGAACAGGCCGTGTCATAGGTACAGCAGACATCAATTGCTGATATCTGTAAACAAGTAAGATAACTGTAAATAAAGTAAACAAAAGTACATTTTTTTCCTTTAGTTTTATATGTTATAATAATAAGTCTGATTCCCTATCTTAAAATGGAAAAGATAAAAATAAATATTTGATTACATTACTTCATTTTATAACATTTATTATAGTTATTCGTATAACACAGATCATAGGAGCTCAAACAGCATGCTAATTAATAAATTATTATTATAACATGAGTATAAACCTATTAGAAACCGCTTATATACTCCACATAGATACATAATTATGTAGGTACATTATATTGAGAATGCATACCTGTTGAAGCTTTGAGAGCCGAACAACATCATCCGGCCTCATCTGTTCTACAAATGGCAATGTTAAAGTGAGGCTTAGTCCATGTTTACATAATACATTACTTCCTGATAGTGAACACTGTGAGGTGGTATGTCAGGTTGTGGTTTTATAGTTTCGACTCTTGTACGGTCTCTCAGTCAGTATGGAACATGATCTTCATCATGGGAAGTAAGCTAAAATAAGTAATATTATTAGAATATGATATTGACTTTAGATTACACTGTATATAGATAATAGTATGGTTAAATTATGCTTTATTACCTCTTGTGGCTGAATCCAATCAAATACTATATGAGCCAGTCTTTACTCCTGTTTGTTGGCGCCTTCAATTAAAACCCTGCGTCACCTTATCATTGCAATGAATCACCCATATACGACACAAACATGCCAGTGACCAATTTGTTTGCTGGACATACTTTCAGCAACATCCCGATACATTGCTAATTGCCAGCAAGCATTGCAAATATGGTCGGTAGGAGAGATCTAGAATAAAAAGAATAAAATGATACATTATGGGTAGATAACACTATGCGCCTTCTTTTATTCAGGAACATGGTGACTTTCGATATGTTATGGGTAAACTAGGTACTTACATCTCTAGGATAAGTCCACATTGGGATATTGTTGACCACGTCTAATCTTCACTCTCATTTTCTAGAGCATGCCGTCTCATGTGCGACAAACTCTGAATGCAATTAATACACTGTAAATTCATCATCGCGACAAATAACAACACACTGCACAAAATAATGTAAATAAGTGTCTTTTCGCAATTGTCACAACAATGATGCCAATAATACCAATTTGGGCTACGGAGGAACGGTTGCCAAACTCAACGTATCACCAGATGAATAAAATAACTTCAAATTCAACAAACACATCATAACATCGCATTTGAAACAAACAGCAATGCGCCAGTATTGACAAATTAATTGTCAATGTCATCAAGACAAATGCCAGTTCAACATTGCCATAATATTCAAGTTTGTTAAAATGTTAATTATCATTAATAATCCATGTAAACGTAGATTTAGATTGGATGTAGATTTTTATATTTACTTATAAAAATGTTTGAAATGGAAAGGAAAATATTTCATTGATAGATATTAAAATAAATTAGTTTATGAAATAGCGAAATTCAATATGCTCTGATTTCATCTTTACGCATGGCAACTTTGTAAACGTCAATCGCGGTTCGTTTTACGTATAGTGGATTGCTTTTTATCATTATTGAATATCAGTTTTTCTAGGGTTTCCCAAGTTTTAAAAATCTATTAAATATGCTAACATAACGTACTTAGGAGGTTCTATAATGACCCAATTTTTTAATGACAAATCTTTTTTTAGCGAAGCGGTACAAAATCTGCCGTTCTCCTTTGTACTCTTGAGTTACAACACTAGCGCCCATTGCATCCGTATTGAGTGGATATTTAATGAACTAAATGGTATTCAGTTTGGCTTTATATTCCGTATTTTGAATGCTATTTCAACAGCTATGATAGGGGTTGTATAGCTTAGATATTGAATAATTGTTGAGATTTTATTGGATTGAAATTGCATTGACATTGAGATTGGTTTCAAGAGTAAGCACCCTGGTCATGTACATAGGCTTAAGCGGATTGTCTATATAATCAAAGCAAATACTTTTATATCTTATAACCTTACCTCAAGCACTGTTAGTAAAAAAAAATGTGTCTCTCTTGTGTCAACAGAAACATAATAAAACACTGTGATACAGGCCCTAAAGTTAATTAATCGCCCTTCATAGATTGTCTTTCAAGGAAAAAGAACAGTATCCATGGCTTTAAGGAACTGACGCCTTAGTACAATTTTTTTTACGTTTAAAGTATTCGAAACGAGTACGCGTTCGGTGCTGTGATTGGCCGGCACCAATTAACCAACCAATCAGAGCGCCGAATAAGGTCTGGACTCGATTACTTTAAACGTAAAACAAACTCGTACTAAGGCCTCTGAAAGCTCAGTACGAATTTCTTTTACTTTAAATGTCATCGACACATTGATGAATTGGTCTGTTCTAATGAACCAACCCGGCTGTGAAATATCAAAACCCAGTATCTGCATAAAACCAAATTTTACAGGAGAGCCGAAAAATGATTTCATATCTTTGACAGCTTGCCACTTCAATAATATTAGTCGTATCTTCTTGGGAGTGATTTCAAAATTTGATTTGTTTTTGCTATCCTAGTATGTGGAGAGGTGGTCTATAAGGTCGTAAAATGCAAAAACACATTTTTATAAGATTTGTCAGATACTAGGTTTTGAAATTGCACAGCCGAACTAATCAGAGGGTTAAACGAAGTGTCGTTTCAATGTCGTTAAACGTGAAAGAAACTAGTACTATAGGCCCTCTGATTCCATTATATCAGACAGTGTTTCTTCTAAACTAATTAGCTTATCTTTTTACAGGAAGACCTGAGTGTAGATGACGCAAAAGAGATCGTAGAGAAACTCAAAATGGACGAGAAACCCAAACCGGGACCAAGGTATGAAGTTCAAATCGATATATATTTTTATATCAATTTTGCGAAACTTGTTTAATGTTTATTATATTGAGTCAGGAAGGAAAATTGAGAATAATTAATACTAGCGACCCGCCCCGGCTTCGCACGGGTGCAAAATGCATGTATTATACATACAAAGCTTACTTAAGAATCACTCTATCTATTAACTCGTCGAGTACCGTATTTATAGACACAATTGAAGAACAATAGGTTGCGGTCACCGGTGACCGCTCGGTGTTTGACAGTTTAAAGAAAACCGCATCAAAATCGGTTGCGTAGTTTTAAAGATCTAAGCATACATAGAGACATACAGACGGCGGATAGCGACTTTGTTTTATACTATGTAGTGATGAAATGTGAAAGTTTGTGTGTAAAACGGCTGAAAAGATCGGGATGTTTATAATCCATCCCAGATTAAGACTGATTATGAGTAACACATAGGCTACTTCTTATACCTCGGGAACGCGGGAAACGTCGGTGGCAGAAGTCGCCATAATTGGGTACTTGCCAACCAGTCGAATTCAGTACTTTTTACGAATAACTGTCAAAAAACTACAGTTTTCTATGAATTTCGTACGAAATTATGTATTTTAATGTCACGTTTTTTAGTCAAACGAATACTTATTTCTTAATTTTTTTCTGGAAAAATTTTAAAATTGGTTATAAAACCATTTAATGAAAGTATGATTATTTTTTTTATTGTATTGAACAGTCGAAATAATTTATTTTTGATTAAAGAAAGTACCCAGTTGATTTAGCCGTTCTTGAGATATGAATAGTATTTTTTTATTGCATTCGTTACAAGTGGGACTGCTAAACAATAAGGACTCGGTTCGATACTAAGTTTACTATCTACTACTATATCCAATCCATCCAGGTCCAAATGTCTAATCCCTAAAAAACATCCTTATAAGTATAACGCCTTTAGTGTTTCGGGTGTCCATGGACGGTACCCATCGCTTACCATCAGGTGATACGTGTACTCGTTTGTCACCCTATCCAATAACGATACCTATATGGAAAAAATGATGTAAAGATGCATATTCCTTCGGTAAATAAGTGCAATTACGAACAAAAATGCGTATTACGTGTGTGCAACATATTACACGCACTGGTAAGCTGTATCACAAAGATAATGATCTCGTGCGCACACGCATAGAGTAAAGATGCAACTAGTAATGTAATAATTTCAACCATTAATCATTAATTAACTATTTCAGAGTTGCGTTTTGTGTTGTTTGTGTTCGTGAAATTCCTCACTTCGCTCCCAAAAGACCAGTGAACTAACTATGTTTTTTTTTTAATTGTATGACAAGGGCACGGTCCTAGAGTCCGTCGAGAATTTATCTGTAATGTTATAAAAACTGTATTTTTGTGTTTTAAAGGCGAATGTATTTTTTGCCCTCAGGAGTGGAAGATTCGCCTCTGAACCCCTGGGAGGTCTGACCAGTCTTACTGATGAACCGACTGGTCCTGGCTACGGTCTGCAGGACGGACTCAAATCTTAGAACAAACACCTCGACGTTTTGTAAATTTAATTTATAGGAATATTTAAATAAATCATGTTAGATCATTTTGTTGATTTATTTGTGTTTTTCAATTTTTATTTTTTGTTGAAAGTTATAAATTTGAATATAAGTTTAATAAGGATTTTTTAAATTGTATTTCCTGAAGGGTGTCTTCAAGGCCCGGGTGAATAGGTAGCTTATGGGCCGACGTGCTCCATCGTAGACCGCATCATCGGTCAAACGTGGTTTACCACCAGAGATAGTGGTCAAACGTCGGCCCATCAAATATAAAAAAAACCTAATTAAAAAAGTATCTGGATCCGGAAGTCAACTGTGGCTGTGCAAGCAACAAAGTTGAACAGAAAATATTTTTGTCTACCATTCACTAATACGAGAGAACAATGGGTAGACATTTTATCATTTATGTCTAATGTGTTTGATCAACTTTATATTTCTATCGTTCAAAAATCTGTATCTACTCCATAGTCTCCATAATAGCAAGTTGAAAAACTGTTAAATACTTTTTTTAACTCCAAGGAGGGATTAGCTAAGCGGATTTCAATTAAAATCTGTTTATAAAGGAAGGATTTAGTTATCTACTTATACAGACAACGTTATCACAAAATATTTCCGTAATAAAAAAACAATTATAGATTTACGTTAGATTGCTTTGAAGCCATGGTGAAATTCTGATAAGCTAATTAGTAATATACCTACTACCAATGACTTATCTTGGTGTAGTACGTATTGTGACGCTTACTTGCTGATAAAGTTAACGTTAGATAGTACAATAGTTTTATTCAGTGGTCGTATTGTTATGGTCCTACCTATAAGTTAGGTACATACCTACTATGATATAAAGTTAATAAGTATCTAATAATTTAGGTGAGTAAATAAAACTAGTGTAGTGGCCAGTGATTTCGAATACAACCTATTCAATTTTAAATTGATTCTTTATAAAAATAAAATTGCAGTGTCAAAATGGTGTTGATTTACAGATGTTCCGTAGAAATTATAAAAATGAAATTGTTAAAGAATACACGCAAATACAACTGTGGGATCCTAATGATTCCTGGGCGCAAGGAGATGTGAGTATCAAAAGTTTTATATGATTAATTATGGAATATTTTATTACAGGTAGGTTTATGAGGTTATAAAAAATATTTTTATTAGTTTTATTATAGCTATATAACATAGATATAATGATTTTTTACACTTTGTAATTCGTGGCCATGACAAATCTATAGAAAATAATTATAAGGTTAGATATAAACTGATCAAGTATGTAATTATCGGAAATAAATAGATAATTCTGATTCATTAAAATAAATTCATCTTTCTATCTCTATCACGCGATGTAGAGGTGGAATGCCTTTCCTTTATATTCGACTAAATTGATTATGATATCCGTTTATCAGAAAATTATCAATTTATGTTCTACAATCTAATAGGATCAAAAATGAATGCTACATTTGTTTTTATAATAACTATCGTGAGACATACTAAATTAAGTAAAAACGCGGGTTACTCACGTGAATATACTGAGAAAAGCTCTACTAGTTTCGAACCACAGAGGGGTTCTTCCTCATGAGCAGCGTGCGCGGTCGCGGCGACGTCGCGACGTCGCGTCGCGACGACAGTGAGCTGCGCGACGCGACCGCGCACGCTGCTCATGAGGAAGAACCCCTCTGTGGTTCGAAACTAGTAGAGCTTTTCTCAGAATGCTACATTTTATAGAAATTGGAATAAAATTGCATTTAATGATTGTTTTAGTTGATAATAATAAATTAGTTATGTAGCACAACTCTAGTCTTATGTCGTGTCCTGTCAAAAAGGTTTGACATGTCAGTATTGAATTGTCAGTTGTTTGGTTTCGGTGCTATTACTTTCTGTCAGTGACTTTTCGTTCGTTGGTTGTTCGTGTCGTCTTCTTGGGTGTGGAAATGTCTATCGAGGCCTAAGCTGTGAGGCATTGTGTGAACGATGAAAAGTAGCCCCACGCGCAAATATGAAAATTTCTCCAACGACCAGCCTGGGAAGGAAACGGACAAGTATTCTTTAGACAGCCAAGACACCGCCAGTGTGGTTAGTTCATTGTTGAAATTATTGATTTTGTTTGTGTACGGTGTATGATGTTATTGATTTGTCGCGTTTTAATGTTTAGATTAGTCATAGAGTATGTCTTATATCTAGACGCGCACTGTAGTTGTAGGGAATATCTTAGGCAAACAGAAAGGGATGTGAATCGGCGTATTTGTATGAGTTGTCTGCTGTTTTGACCTACGTGTTCGCGGCAGACGACCTAGATCGTTCTTGTTGCTAGTTTTATTTCGCTTGACATGTGAAAAAATTAATGTTTTGTATTTTTATAACGAGTAATCGTATTTTTTGGTCCTTTCGTGTTTGTAACGTTGCCAACTCGATTTATTGGCCGCTTCTCGTGTGATTCGCACTCTCACTTTCACCTCGTAGCGTTATTGCGGTTTTCTTTATTTAAATTAAAAAGTGTCTGTTAATTTCTATGGTGTGTCAGCACTTTTTTTTTCAAATTTTATATACTATAGCTGTACTATATCTCTGTCCAATCTGTCTTATACAGTGTGGTTCTTTAGAAATATTATAGACATTGCATTGACAAAAATACTAACACTTTTAGACTCCTAATAGAACACATTCACAATTACCAAAGATATAAATTACTGCAAAATGCATTTTACAAACACAACATACCTATATAAATATTTACTTACCGTTAAAAATAATAAATAATGTACCATTAAGTTTTTTGTGGCCTAACTACCCTGTTGTTAGGTCTAGTATGGGCAAAATTATTTGAATAATGACTCAAATGAATATGGAAATAATTCATTTGAAGAACATACAAGTAATATAGCATTACAACAATCTTAATTACTTACTTGGTTAAAATTATAGTGAATCGGTCATATTTGTCACAATTAATTCTGTTATTAAATGGAATAGGTAGACAGAAGTACTTAATGCTAATTAGGTAATAATATTACATATCTAGCTTCTCTGCTACGGTTACACCCTCTCTGCTGCCAAGCAGGAGCCGACCTATTGATAGAAGTGTAATAGTTTATAGACTTCTTCGATAAATGGACTACCCAAAACAAAAAGAATGATTCAATTTGAATTAGTAGTTCTGGATGTTAGCGCGTTCAAACAAACAAACCCTTCAACTTTATTTTTTGTATTACACAAGCTACTTGCCTGGTTTCACTCACTCTGCTCGGTGCCTATTGGTCGTAGCATATTGTTTTAAGCCTATTATAGCCTTTCTTGATAAATGTGCTCGCTCCATCACAAATCTAATTGTTTAAATCAAATCAGTATTTCAAACTTTTTGAATTTATAAATATTAAAATAAAATACTAATACCTATAATAAAGCCTAATTAATTGTGTAATGGTTTAAATTATTAGATATTTAACCAATTTTAGTACCTAATACTGCAGTTGTAGTTTGTAGCAGTCAGCAGTAACTATTATGTTGACTGACCTATATAGTTGGGTAGTGTTAGTACAAAGAGTTTTTCTAAGTTAACGTAATATCTCACGATAAGTGTTGGAAATAACTGACGAATTTATACTGTAAATAATTAGTATGGAGGTAATACTGCATTGTATTAATTTATTAATTATTTTTACTTAATTAAATATTTAATTTGCATTTAAGAATCAGTGCCAATTTAATTTATAGGTATTCAATTGTGGTTTGCCAGCCCGTGAAGAAGTATTTATTCATTTTATTTTATTTTCCTTAAATCGTAAATTGAAAAAAGAAAACATGTTTTTTATGACTAAAATGTTATCTAAATTAAATAATAATAACATTTCTTATATACAAATAAGGATAGCATTGTAATTTATAAAGTGTATAATTTTATATCTTTTAAATCTAAAATCTCAATCAGATAATTTCGTATGTAGGTGGAGTTAATTATTTTAGGTTATTTATACTGTTTTGTCTGGTTATATAGACATCTTTTTATAGGACCTTTGCAATACTACATTTATTTATTTAAATTAAACGCAATATCAATTTGTGTGATCCACAAATTCTTGTTCTGAATCTGGGTGGCATGTGTAATGTGTATGTAAAATTGTATGTTTGTAAATGCACTCATGACACAGGAGAATCCTAGTGTGGGGCAATGTGTTAAAATAAGTTTGAATGTAGTTTTGTTCGAGATTTAAGAGAGGTCCTTTTCTTGTGGTGGGAAAATCATCCAATGTCTGCTCCCGCCTTGGTTCAGGCGAAAGAGGTGGAGCCCCTTTAGGTTCTCTACAGCTCCAGGATCTAAGAGTAATCTGGACATACAAATTACAATATCTACAGTCCAACAACAGGCCATAGTGTGGAATCCAACTCTACTCAGTCCTTTGATTGTCCTACTTGTGTGGCAAATGGGTGATTCAGTCAATTAGTGTGAGTCAGAGAGTAGAGAGTAATTCTTCACACTAATTTTGTAGTATTTTATTTGTCCCATATTTTTTACTTATTTATACTTAAAAGTATAATTTTGTTAAGAAGAGCAATAAGGTAGACTGTTCTCATTTGATAAGAAACGAGAATATCACACACTATAGAGCTGTAAATAGTACATCTTATATTTTAAACGTTTGTTTAATTTTATTTAAACTTATTAAGATAAACGATAGTAGCTACGTGAGTATTATGGTGTATTAAAGTGGCTGCCTTGTTTATTTAAGAGGCCGTAAAGTTGTGAGCGAAGATTTAAAATGCGAAGTACAATTTTTATCGTTAAACCCACAATCAAGGTTCCAGATTGAAATATCTTACCCTTTTTGGATGTCTTTTTTTTTGAGGAGGTTAAATCATCCAACGACTTCTCCTGCCTTAAATTACGCGAGAGGGAGTGTCAGACTCTTACTGACTAAAAACCACCCTACTCGTGCTCTTCGAGCCGGAGCCCCGGCAATCCGTTAGGCCTTCCGCGGCTACGTATCGGGCATCAGCCCTACTGGGCTCCATCTGTGTTGGTCTGATCACAACATGAGCTGCTTATAACCTAACGGGTTATCTGGGTTCCAGTTCTAAATAGGAGTAAGAACGGGTTGGTTTTTGTCCAAAAGAGTTTGAAATTTATCTCTCGCCTCACTTTAGACATAAATGACATTGGTTGATTATCACCTCAAAAAAAAAACAACTACAAATGTTTACAAATAGTTAATTACCTAAATAGATCGAGTATACGTATCACAAGTGCCTGGCCATGTAACTATTTAATTTACGGGAATACGCCGCCATTTACGGGAATTATTTCAGTAATAATGGCATTTAAAATTTGAAGGTATTACATACCGGCAAGGCTATATTTTATCAAGTTTTACCACAAATTATAATAATATTACGTGAAACGTCGTATCTATCTTTAATTTTAAATTATTAAAACGTTTGTTCGTGGCGTGAAAATTGAAAACTTTGTAATTACATTAATTGCTTGTAACCCCATTTTGTGAAGCTTGTTACGGTAATTCAAATTGTTTAATTTAATACCGGAGCTTTGAACGTGGAGTTTGTTCGAGGAACTGTTTATATTTATTTAAAATTTCCTCTTGTTTAAGATCTGAAGTAAAATCGTCCATTTTCGTGGAAGTTTTCGGTATTATTTTTATGAGAAATGAGTCTTTATTATGCTGTGTTCTAACTTGATTTCATTTAAGTAATGTTATTTTGTAAGTGAGATTGTTCGTTGTTCGAGGGGTTAGACAAATTATTATTGAGAACTTAAAAATAAATTAAATAACATGATGAACACCATTAGACGTACTGTGAATACACCTCATCTACACTTAGGCATTTCATTTTTCATAGCACATCAATTTCATTAGGAAGCAATTAGAACCGGATTCAATTTCATTCGATATCGAACTAGTTACTTGGACAATTGTCGATATAAGGGCAAAAATTATGGTCTTGATTAATTCATACCTAACTGTGTCTCGAAATTGTTAGGAAGCTAGAAAGTGCAATCGCAAATTACATCTACTAACGATCTTTGGCCACCGTGGCCTGCGGACGGCGAGCATGGGTGGCTCGCCGCCTGACCAGAACTAGACGGGAGCGTACGGCGTTACGCGTTCCGCGCGCGCCTCAAAGAGCCATCAGACCACCACGGATGGGGCTCAATAGGGCTAATGCCGATACCGAGTCGCGGAGAACCTAACGGGTTACCGGGACTCTGCCTCGAAGTGCAGAAGTAGGAACGGGAAGGTTTTTAGTCAGTAAGAGTCTGACACTCCTTCCCGCCTCTCCCAGGCGGGAGAAGACATAATTGAGAAAAAATAATATTTACTAGTCCAATACGTTTAAAACATGCTCCTGGATACCCTCTTCGAGATAAAAGGCTTACTCAACTCCTATACAACTCTTGTCATCATAGCTTCATAGCTCAGAAGTTTAGAATGATACCTATGGCGTAATCGAGCGAAGATTAAAACATCATCTAAGGTCCCAACTCCGAGGGTCCAGGGACAGACCGGTTATCCCGTCCATAAAATATAATCTAACGCCGACCCTTTGCCCAGCATCGTTTAATATCAATGTAATAGACTTAGCTTGGTTAAAATAGTTTCCCTGTGGTCTGAATGGAGCGATGTGTTGAATAATTGATGAAGTATTTGAATTAGAAATGTTGGTCTATTAAAATTGTCAATGAAAAGAACGATCAAAGAAAAGATAGAGATTGCGTGGAAAATGATATGAAAGAGGAAAGAGTTCGTGGTATGATGACGTCTGATAGAGTAAAATAAGACTCATTGTGCTGACTTTAAATTGCTTAGGGTATAGGCATGAAGAAGTATAAAATTAGATTCATCTATGGTTTTACAGCCTACAGGTTAGATCGTATGAGTATACAGATCATAAGATATTAATACCGGATAATTGTATGTGTGAGTAAAATATAAACATGCATTTGACTATACAATGACGTTTTACCGTTAAATAACTATTCTGAACACAAACAAAAATTATGGAAATGTTTATACCTGGCTATTATTGTCCAATCAACATCTAACACCCATGAAGGTCTCTAT